TCCAGACAAGGTGGAGGTCCTGTTGGTAGGTGGTTCAACTCTCCAGGTAAGTGATTTTGCCCTGTTCTGGACAGGGTTGAACTCCCCTCAGGGTAGGGTACATAGTCTGGGAGTACTCCTCAACCCAGAGTTATCCTTGGAGTTCCAGGAGACTACTGTGGCAAGGAGCAATTTCCTTCAGCTTCGACTGATCCATGAACTATGCCCTTACTTGGATGAGCAGAGCCTTGCAACAGTGACCCATGCTCTGGTAACCTCCCAGTTGGACTATTGTAGCACACTCTACGTGGGGCTGCCCTTGAAGACAGTCTGGATACTTCAGTTGGTTCAGAACAGAGCAGCCAGGATGCTAGGAGGGACCAGCAGATATACAAACATAATGCTGGTCCTGTACTATCTGCACTGGCCTACAATTGAAGTCCAGGCCCAACTTAAGGTGCTAGTGATGACTTATAAAGCCCTAAACAGCGTAGGACCTGGATATTTGAAGGAGCACCTCCCTCCCTATATACCTGCCTGGCTTCTAAGATCTGGAATGGAGGTCCTTCTTTAGGAGCCCTCTTTGAAGGAAATCCAAGGAGTGGCTACCCAGAGAAAGGCCTTGTGGGGATTATGTCATACACATGCATTTCTTGCTTTTGTATTGAGAGTATTCTCTTCTATAAATTTAATGGTCATGTTAGTCTTCTGCAAAAGATTTATTCATTTAGAACAATTCCATCCTGACTTTTTTCAAAAGTACTCAGGCTAACTTAAAATCATACAATAAGCAATCTAAAACAATAACAAACTAGTATTAAACACATAGAACACTAAAAAAGGCATCAGAACACAAAATGAGCAATCACTAAGTAGGAGAAACTGTTTTTTAAAAACAGGCACAGTTAAAACCGGTTCAGTATCAAGGTAATTTACAAATTCAATACCTTTCTAAAAAGAAAATGTTTAGCAATTTCTAAAAGCCATTAAAGAGGAAAAGGCAGAAAAGATCACCATATAAACAAGATGGCCATCCAGGTATCCCAAATAATAAAGGGTGTTAAAGGCCATTACCAATACTTTGAACTCTGCTTAGAAGCAGATGAAAGCCAATGCAGCTGTTTTGATGGGGAAGACACACAAGGCCCCTGTTAACTTCTCTACTACATTTTGGACCAAGTGCCAAGGGCAGCCCTAAACAGATTACATTGCCATAACCCAGATGTAATGTCATGGGCATTTAATTATTCATTCAGATATCTAACCTAGTAGCTCAGAGTGAGCCAATCACAGTATGAGGCTGGTAATACAGACTGGCTTACCTTATCAGGTTCTTATAAGATGTATCAAGCTAATTGCCCAAAGCAGTTCAAATGCTCAGAAATGCTACATCAAACACTGGTACTCATGATTCCTCCTCCCTTCTCCAAATGGGTTAAATTCTTCCCACCATCATCACCTATCACACAGAATGAGGATGCCAAATAATGAAGAAGAGAATATCACACACATTCCCTTGATAAAATGGAACTCCCTGTTATAAACAAGCTGGTACACTTGTAATCACAAATTTAAAATCCACAAGAGACAAGATATATCCAAGTACAGACGTTTAAGAGTTAACTGCTAGAGACTCTGAAATGAAGAGCTGAAAACAAGGCATGAGAGGAAACTCCTTGCTAAATAGGTCAAACTGAAAACTATGAGAATCTTGTTTCCACCAAGATTCCACCTACAAAATCTCACAAAGACGCACATGAGTGCATTGAAGGAGGAAGTTACCCTGCTAAATTTCTGCCTGTTGTGCCTTCAGGAGTACCAAGAGAAGGATATATGGTATGCCGAAGGAGAGTTGCCCAATTTGATTTAAGCTTGCCATGCTGCTACTGATGACATATCACTAAAGGGCCCTGGAATGCAATAAATGCAACTCATGATTCTTTGTAGGCTTTTGCCCTCTGGTACTGCTCCCAAGAGGGACACTGACCTAATTTGTGCCTAGGTGGGAAGCAGAAGAAGACCACAGTGGAAATGCTCTTCCCTTACTCCACACAGCGGATGGAGACAGCCAGAGAGGTGGTACTGCTTGAAGCGCTGAACAGGAGGAAGTGTGGGAAGAAGAGGGACAGATGGAGGAAGAGGAATCAGTCCATTATTTGCCTGAGAAGATGACAGTAGGGACAAAGAGAGGATTCTCCTGCTGCTGGGTTTGGCTGTGGCTGCTGTTTTTGCATGAAGTGAAGGAGGGCCAGCCACCACTGCTGCTGGAGGCAATAACAACAGTGAGCAACAGTCGCCTGGCCAAGGGAGGAAGCAGCAGTGGCTTCCTCACAAGGAAGCAAGTGACACAGCACAGCTAATAGCATACTCTTGACAGAACTACAGGGAACAGAAAATATTTGTTGCATTTCCAAAATACAGGGCAAGAGCCTTTAAAATGAACATGTCCCTAGGAAATATCTGTCGACTCACACTTTTCCGAACAAACAATGGAGTGATCTAGGATTTGAACACAGCTGTAATTATTGAGTATTCTGTTCCTTCTTTCCATCTATCCTAAAGACAAGGAAATAACAAAGACAGGAATGCCAGACTTTGGTTTTTAGTATGAATGCAGAAATTCCTCTTCCAGACAGAAAGATGAATTAGTCCAAAATGTTCTTATTTCTACATCCTCAAAATACCACATCACAGTAATTTAATGGGTCATTTTAGGCTTGCATTTTGTTCTTTAAATTATTTTCCTTTTAATTTTACATGCATACTTTTACCTACCGAGACAAGCCCTCAGGTCTATGCTATCTTAATTATGGGTGGTTCATGCCAGTTTACTTCCTAACTGAAAGGCAGCTGTTAAGCTAAGTTCATGAATAAGGGGAACAAGTGGAATCTGCTACAAAATACTGCCCTATATCCTCCCTAATAGAAGGAGAATTTATGTTCAGGGTTTCAGCCAGCTATTTCTTCCAAGCAGAGCATTTCACTTGTTCAGGCCTTTCTATACTTTTCATTTAATATCCTGTAGGTCCATCCTTCGGGGGCTTTCAAACCACTTATGTCCTTTTTTAAAAAAGGATTCTATTTATTTAAATATGGGATTCCCTCAATCATACAGAAATTTTGTTCTTGCTTTCAGTAGTCTATTTCAATGACAATCTTGGCAACACTCACCACCTGAGTTTACTATAACTCTATAATAATTACCACTCATTACAGACTCTCAACAGTTCTGTACTCAGTGTTATCATCATCACACCTTCTAATTTGCCTTATGACTATAAAAGTGGTAACTATACCAGATCAGATTGTCCAAATTGCAACCAGGAGGTCTATGTCCCAGAAAAAAAGGTTAACTCTCACTTTGTAGAAAGCAGCCGGCCCTGAAGTGGAAGGGATTTGGAATATTACAGTTCCTAACCATTAGCAAGGAAAAGACATTACCAGTCAAACACGTATCTCCACCAACAGAAACAGCCTCTCAAATCTATAACGAAAGGTTCTGAACTATTATATAAGCTTGTACCATAACCAGACTGATTGCTGATTATCAAAGAACCATGTTCACATACCAAAAGCATAGCCTATTTCTAGTTTGGCACAGAGCATTTATAGGACACAAGACTGGTAGAGGGTAGTCAAGAGAGAAAGAGAAATCCAATCAGTTTAAGGTAATAGGCAAATTCTAATTAAAGGGAAGCCATGGCCATTAGGCAGACAGTTTCAGGATATTGGCATGCTACACAAAGGTCAATTAAGACTTTTTGGTGACTGCTATACAAGTCAAAGCAGAGTTAGATACTGTCTTGGGATAAAGGCTGGAGGGAAAAAAATCTGCTTTTTCTTTTTGTTCTTTTCCTCCAAACTGAGCAATTTTAGATTATGAAATATTTTCTTTTATAATAATGAAATACTGACCTTCCTTTCCTTGTGAGTCTTGTCTTTTTTAGTTTCCTATGGCAGGGCCCTTTTTTCATTTGGACTGCAACACTCAGAATTCTCAGTCAATGGCTTTGTTGGATGGGAATTCTGTATGCTGCAGTCCAGATGTTTCTGAAGGCCACCAGGTTGGGGATGGCTGCTCTAATCCCTCTATCCTCACACTCATGAACAAATACAATCTTCCTCTGCCTCCAGCTCTTCCTGCTTCATCTGACTTCTAAGATGTTTTAATTCAGATGTTTCTGAGACTACTTACTGAAGTTTCTTCTTAGAAGAAGAAATAAACAGGAACCTAAAACAAATTACACATAACTTTGTTTGCTCACAAAATTATCATCTTTATATATTAAATATAAAATGCTTTACCTCTTATGATAATTTTGAGTCAGCCAATACATTTTTCTCCTAAAATGAATTCATGTGCCTAAGAGAATTAAAACTACATATTTATTATTTTTTCCTAAAAAGTCTGTTTTTATCCCCACCTGTAAAATAAAGTTCTCTCTTCATGGCTTCAATTTTTAAAAATTGTACATCTCTTCCAGTTGCTGGTAATAGCTGATGTTGGAGCACTTTAAAGGCCCAATGATGCCATCATCAGGTTTCAACCCCCTCAGGTAGGTGCAATGGCAATATGACCTTCACCTCGCACTACCACCACCACCCAGGCTGAGAAAGGAGATTGTACTGGGTAGCTGCTGCTTGCTCACTCACCAAGGTATCTGATTAAAAGCTGCAAGGCACAGCTGCCACTGAAATCAATAACCAATATTTTCTCTCTGTGAGGTGCTGCAGTAATGATCTAGCCTACCAAGCAACCCAAAAGAAGGCAAGTTAGGAAAAAGAGGCTGCTCCTGTCTTTGTCCACTCATCTCTCAGAATGGCACAGCAGGAAGAAGTAGAATAGCCCAGTTGGGTTTTCCAGTGTGTGAGAAAAACTTAAGGAAATGTCTGCCCCTTGCAGATCAACTGCGACACCTTTCTTGCTCATTTGGACTTGCTTTTGATGCCAAGGACAGAACAAGCTCCATGACACTGTCCAGAGAAAGAAAGAGAGTAAGCTGCTGCCTTCATGTACTTACTCATCTTCACAATTCACACCACAGTACCAAGCAGAGTGCGGAGGACAGGCATGCTGACAGGAGTCTCCTGCATTGTCTTGTTCACTCGCTTGTATGCTAACTTTGGTCAGTGTAGCAGTACAGCCTGGAAGCCATCAAGTCCACAGCATGGTCCAGAGAACTGCAGAAGCCCAGCTGAGCCCACGACCCCCCCCCCAAAAAAGCGCTGGCCAGAGAGCAGAGGTACACCTGCAAGCAGGGGGTGAACAAGAGGACAAAGGCTGGCTTACTGGGCTGGATCACAAGGCCCAGTCTGTCCCAGCGTCCTACCGCGGGGGACTGTGTGAGCCGACCCCTCTGCCCACTTTCCCCTGACGATTCAGCAGAGAGGACTGGCTCTGTTGAGGAAGCGGGCGCTGGGTGTTGCCCTGCAGGAGCTGCCGGACCAGGCCTCTACACAACATCAGCAGCGCACCCGCAAAACCGTTGGGCTAGGGACTCTACCCGGGCAGTGCTGTTCACGAGGAAGCCGCGCACGCGCACGCATACACGTGTTCTCACTACAGGTTCTCCCTCGCGCTCTACGGATACCTCCTGCCCGTTTCCCTGCCAACTGGGGCGAGGCGCCAGCGTACCCATAAAGTCAGGCTGGCGGGCAGAGCGAGCCTGGGCCTCGCGCCTACGCGTCGACCTCCTCGCGCCGAACGGCCCCCGCCCCCCAGGAGCGCGCGCCCGCCCGCCCGAACCTATGGGGCCGGCGGCGCGACTTCCCCCTCGCAGGCGGCGAAAGAGTTAACCGAGGCCCTCCGGTCGTCCTCCCGATGGGGCGGAGCTCCAGACAGGAAGAAGGTGCGGCCGGCGACTGCGTGAAGGTCGCCGCAGGAAGGGGGCGGCGCTTGGGGCGGGCACGGCGGGCTTGACCGGGACGCGGCGAGCGGCGCGGAAGGGGCAGGCGCGGGAGCGTTCGCTTTCGCGTATCCCAAATAGCAAAAGCCGCGGGAGCTGTCAGCGCTTTTTGGCGTGCGCGCCTTCCACGTAACTCAGTGCAAGCTACCAGTGAAGCGAGGGGTGGATTCCGGGACGGGATTAATTGCTGTGTGTGGGAGGAAGGAATGAAACGAGAAGGCTTTTATAGCTCTTTAAGTTGTATTGTTTTTAATGATAAGTTGTAATGCTAATTTTTAATGTTTGCCTTAATGTGGTATACACACACACATGCACACACGCTACGTGGGATTCTGGGAACTAGCAGAAAACTCTGAATAAATGGACAAATCATATGAATCACACTGAAAGGGGGATGAGAGATGTGGCCGTGAGTGCATGGATTTCATCAGTACTTCAAAACAGCCCAAAGTTGTTCTCATATTACTGGAAGGGAAGTTGAGAAAGAGGAGTATATGACAATCCTGCAGTGAAGTCCAGTGTTAGCTGGCCCCCTGTTTCATTGGGCCTTTTATTCAAGTGTTGGAAGAGTTGTGGAGTTGTAACAGTACTTGGTGTGGGTGATTATTTGCTTCCTTACTGAATGGGGATAAATAAAAGGACACTTGTAGTTGAGTGCATTTTGATCACCAAAATAGCCTGCATGGCCTAAGCTGCCCCTTCCCAACATTGCTTCTACCTTCAACTTTGCAGCCCTCCTGTCAGAATTTCCCTTTAAAGGGAAGAGTAAAAAGACTCTCTCCCCTTAGTTTGTACCTCAGTATTCTTTAAACATGTTCTAAAATGCTGCAGTAGAAGTTACCGTAGCCAGAAATACTCCCGGTAGAGATCAGTTTTCTTGTCATAGCGCCTTTCTGCCCAAATCTAGTGTTCAGCCTGTGATCTGTTGACCTGCATGCAGCTGCATACCCATTTTGTTCTAGCCAGGAATCGTGTGTCCCAAAACACTGTTCTTGACTTTTCCTGCCTTGGTTAAGATAACCTGTTTTATTTCTGTCACAGAAAGTTAGAGGTGCAACAGTGCTATAAACACCATATCTTGTGAAAAATCTCTGACCTTTGTTTCATGTAAACCCCCAGTCTGCCTTCTCAGAGCCAAAAGTACATTATGTTTACGGTCTACCACTTCCCAACATCCTAAGGCAGACTGTGCATCCATATCAGTTTTCCAGTACATGTCCTATAATTCTACAAGTTCATATTTTGGTAAGTTCAGTTGGAGTTAAGAGAAACTAGACTAGTTCTTCAAGGAGAACAAGAGAACAATCTTCCACTCTAGTCTACTACTTCTGATGCCTTTCCATCCACCCCCTCCTGTTAACCTCAGGTTCCTACTCTCACTCTTGAGTCTAAGTCCTATTTTTTCCTATTCCTCCTAATTCCATTTCTCACCTAAATCCCAAACTTAAAGGACAGTGTACAACAAACATATATTTTCTAAAAGCAAAGGACAAAGTTTGCATGAAATCTGATACCTAAAGGAATTACGACTGACCAGAAGAAAGAAAGTTGTCAAACTACATATAGATAGGAGTATAATAAGGCATTTCCATGCATAATGAAAGGAAGGACAAGTTTTGTAGGATACTGCTACATTCATGACTGAATTGTAGGCTACTTTACTAAACTAATCCTATGTATATTTTTGATAGGTAAGGCCCACCATGTTAAATGGAGTTTCATTTGAGAACTAGTGCAGAGGATTGCACATAGAGTCATATACAACATTAGCACACAACAAATGGCACAGGCAGAGTCTGGGTTTGCGTGATCAACACAGATGGACCCTTCACCATGCCGTGGCTTCTAGGCTGGTTTTGAAGCCACCCCCCATCATCTTGCCAGGTTCAGATGACATGGGAAGCCACATTCCATGAAGATAATTAGAGAAATTGGGTGGAATTCAACTGGCACATGGGTGCTTCCTTTCTAAAGTTCAGCATGTGCTAATTATAAGTGAAATGTTTTATAATCGGAACAAAACAAAACAACAAAAGTTCCACTTAATTTTAGAAACTCTCTGTTTAAGAAATTGATGATATGACAATCCAGCAAGAAGAGTAAAATGAAAAACAGTCTCGTGGCACTTAAAGATGAACGCATTGATCATGTTACGGTATGGAGGTTGCAGACCTGCCTTCCCCAACATTATGCCCTTCGGATGTCGACTTCAGCTCTCAATATTCCCAAAGCGGCAAAAACACCATCTATAGGGTACCTGTGGGCTCAAAATGAAATAATTGGTCCAGCATTAATAATAAAGAAATGCCATATAGAGTTTCCCTTTCCTCAGCTTCAGTTGGAACAGTGCTGAAAAGATTTTTGTACCAACACAAAATACAAGTTTGAAATTATGTATTTTCTGTTTTAAGTCTTTATTTCAGTCTAAAATCAGCAACTTGTTTCATTGGCTCACATTGTTTCCACCAAAATATTTTTGCTTTTGTGTGAAGTCTTTACTACAGGATATATTTTGTGAAGCATCTCCATTCTATAACAGTGGGTAGAACTGGACACGGCACCACATTTCAGTAAACTGCTGAACTCAAGGACAGTATTTGGAACTGGGGCAAGCAGTGTCTGCCAGGTACTTATGGCAGAACTCCCAGCACTCTGAAGAGGTTTCCATCAGTCTCTGACAATCTGAGCATTTTACACAGCCTTTGTAGAAACACTGGCACTAGCCAAAATCCTTTTGCAAAGGTTCCTACAAAATGCAGAGCTGTATGACCTCGATTCATTCCAATGTGTTCAGAGAAGAATGGAGAACAGGATCTTATCTGCCAGCCTTGTTTCTTACTGATTTCTAATATAATACAATTATTTGTTGACTGTTGCATTACTGTTGCACCCATCCATTGCTGGAACATTCATCCAGGATCATATACACCCAATTTTTAGGTGGTGGTGACTGTTCAAGCAGTGTGATCCATGCATAGCTAACCATTCCTATTTGAGACTTGTATTCATGCCTTAAGATCCCAGCCTATAAAATAAAATCATTTTTAAAAGAAGTGTTCCATCTGTTAATGTCTACAGTGTTTCCCCCATGGTAATAGGCCTGCAGCCCAGGCCAGACTCTTAGTTCCTGATAATTCACCCATTGGCACTTACTACCATGTATAACTCATGAGAAGCCAGTGTCTGGCTATGCCATGACAAGAAATCATACTATGTTCCTCTTCACTATCTTTTCTATCAGTAGTGCTTAAAAAAAACCCTCACCATTTGGATAATCCTTACAGACAACCTACTTTCCACCTGGTAGTGATATGTATACCATAGTAAATGACTGTGCAATAAATTAGAAGTAGCAACCTGGTTTCCTCCTAATGTTTCCCTAATTATTTAGCCCTGCAGTGGTCTAAACACTTGAAAGATGCCAGGTTCCCAATCCCTGAGAGGCCTTTACAATTCTCTTGCAGCTGCAGAAGCTGATTAAGTACTAGACTATGCAGGAAGGATTCAGCATGCACAGAATGTGATGTTCTCTTTGCTGGGTGTGTGTTCTGTTTGCATGTTATCCACGGGGTGTTTTTATCATGAATGCACAGTGAACATTCATTGTTGCTTTTCAGCCTTCAGTGAGAGTAAAGTAGAGGCATGTAAACAAAACTAATCTAAAATCATCCTAGATACTGGGTCATGATTCATTCTGATTGGATTCCATCTGTGTACTACATTGTTGTTTTTCTTCCTCCTGTCAAATCCTTCATTCATCTTAGTGTAACCAAGATCCTCAAATGGTAGTTCAGGTTTTGATCCATGGTGGGTGGGTGAATAACGGTTCAGTCTGAGTTTAAATTCATGTACTTCCTGCTTTGAATTGCCTTCATGATTTTGGCTTTCTGGGGGGAAAAAACACCCTTTTTTCCTGCCATAACCCTGAATATGACTAATTAGTGGTTGTCACTTTTATTTTTAACTTTGAAAGTGGACATTTGGATGTCCTAGATGGAAGCTTGGTTTTATATCCCTTTCCCCCAATCTACAAATCCATGCATAATCTATAAATACCAAGAAAAAAATATACTTCAAAATATAACTATATGGAATGTTTTTCCTGAGGTTGATGATTGTTATATTCTATCTACAAAATTACCATTTCTATGAAACCTGAAGATACTGATGTGTTCAGAATGAGTTAAGCATGATTGAATTATGCACTATTAAGTCTGCATGTTCAGTGATTTTATCATTTGTGGATTGATTCCTGGTATGCTAATGAAGACCTATGTATAGTTTTCTTGATTAACTCATGGCTTA